CTCACCTGCTTTCAGATATATGCTTTCGGAGACCATAAAAAGTCACTAGATTATAATTATTCTTTTATTACATCTGACCTTTTTTCCAGAAAAATATTTTAACTGGGATATTTAACTGTGGATATGGGACCTTGAGGCATCTTTATGTTGCTGTTGATAGGATGAAATTCAGCCCATTTCATCTTATTCACAGCAACCCACCTTTCCTGAGAAAATTTCTTCCTATGAAGAAATTTAGCAAACATAGTTTGTATATTGAAGTATTTTGCTTCATATGAGATTTTACCAACATATTGAAATCCACATTACTACACCTGATTTCCAATAATATATTTAATAATCAATATCTTACCTGCTATAAAGAGAACTTTCTGAGAGGGCATCCATTAGTGGTCCAATAACAAACTGATAAAAGAAAACAAGGACAACAGCTAAGACTTTGTCCAATAAAAACAATCAACAGTTCTGGAGAGGTTCAGAGGCTCCAGAAATCTGAAGCATCAACATTCCCTGCTGCCATCTACATCTCAAGGTTTTCATATGTGACAAAAAAATTTCAATAAACAGGGTGTTAGCTTCAAGTGGAGAGAATTAGTTCTAAACTTGGGGGATAAATGACTGCACTTTAACAAGTATCCCTACAAGGGCTGCCATTTTTCCAAATAATTTTATATTTGACGCCACTTTCAAGTATTACTTTCACTTCCACACAGCTAAATGTAAGGGCATTTTAAAAGAATTTGTCTCCTATCAGCACTATTGAGGTAATAATGTAATAGATACCACAAGTTAAAATATCTTTGTTCTGGCCAGTGACAGGAAAGGCATCCTTACCTCTGAAAATTCAAGTGGATTTGGAAGATACTTTGTTTCAAAAAGCTCCAGCAAATGAAGAATGCCTTCCTTCATCAATGTTTTATTCTCGCTCTCAAACATTCTTTTATAGATGCACATGTGCCAAGATGGATGAAACAACCAGCAACCTGCAACACAAGCAAATTCTTCTAAACCAGCAGAGAAACAAGTGACACAGTAGCACGCTGGTTTTTGTAGCAGTAAACTTTAAGGAAATGCATTGAACCAACACCCAAACTACTGATAATCCTAGTTAACATAACAGCTCATGACACTTTTCAGAATGACTAAAGTTATTTGATTTATAAAAATATCCTAAAATATCTCTAACATGACAAATACTTGTTTTTTTAACTTAATTATTTCAGTAATTGTAATGTAAAACTATTAACTAATATGAAAAACGTGTCCTCTTCTACAACTGCTCTTTCCCCAATCATGTATTTACCTCCAACACTCAGTTAATCACCTTTCTACTCTACAAATCTCTGAACTTTTAACTTTTAATAACTTGTACTATCTAGTTAAATGTGCTCCATTTTGCTCTATAGAAGATTGTATTATATCCTTCACTGTGCTGCCTCAGCACTCATTTTATTCCTTCCCTCTACTCCCAAGTTTTGGGTTTTTTTTCTGTTTTTCTCCTTTTTCTTTCTCTGAGTTGTCCAGATAACTTCATCAGAAAACCTAGCCCACGAATCGCTGGCTTCTGTTGCTTTCACATTAACTTAAGTAGAAAAAAACACAGTGGACAGAGACCGTTTTGTTTGTCTCAGTTGACAGAAAAATACTTCATGATATATGATTTCATTACAGGAAGTAATTCTGTCATATGTTTTCTTGTTGTGCATTTTTTGTTACATTGGATCCCTGAGCAGAATGTCCTTCCAGTGCATGTTTGCCAAGCTACTTACGCGCAGAACAGACTCGCAAATGATGGCATGATCATCCAGAAAACTGCTGATTTGAGAAACAAAACAAAACCAAGAGCTGCCACTAAAACTAGAGAGAAAGCAAATAGTCAAACTTCGCAGTCTAATGTTCAGAATACATTTGAGAAGAGTTGTGCCTTACCTTTTTTCTCTGATATGGCAAGCTCATACAAACGGTTTAACTTTGGTAACACTGGCTTTATGACATGAATCTGAAACGTAAATCAGATGTTACATCATCAGTTTACATCTCAAGCCTAACCTTGAACATTTAATCATGGGCTAGAATTTACTATCAAGAGCATTAATAAATTAATTGGCAATGTAATCACATTTAAATACATATGTATTTTCTGACCCAATGCCTGTTCAACTGATCCTAGGACTTGGTACACAGCACTTGTGTGTTAAGATGTTAGTTCAGCACTAAATTAAAAAAATATATATATTTACCTTTGCGTCCTTTATGCTACTGTTACACAGGAATACAAATTTCTAACAGCTTATGAATTTATTCATAGAAACTCCAACATGGGGCTTTCAAACAAAAAATAAAACTCTTTGCCAAAAGCACCGGATTTTCAGCCAAGCCACATCATTTTCACAGTGTTTTACTCTAAGGATATAGTGCCCTCTACTGAAAGAATTCAATGAGCACAATAGCCCAGTTTTCCCCAACAACCTGAAGATGCAAGGTACCCACAGCCTTAAAACAAGCCAAAATCCAGGTTTTCCTTTCTTAATTCCATCCACTGTTTTAAACAAATAGTTTCAGACAGATGAAAGTTGTAAATTTATTCCAAACAAATGACACATGCTCCATGTTACAAACTTTATTTTAAATTAAAAAAATACCCTTAATGTATGTAAACACCCTTATATGTTATAAACAAACAGACTTTATCTAAATAAATACTTACGGTGTAGAAATAATGAATCACATAAGTATCATAAGCATAGATTTTAAGATGTCCTTACCTGGTTTCCTTCCAAAGTTTCCATTATCAAAATGTAAGTTTCCCAAAACTCCAGAAGTGTTTCATTCTTCTCAACAGACCACCAAAACAGACTTGATTCTAATTGAAAAGAAAAAAAAAAGGTTATTTAAACACAGTTCCTGTAGCACCATTTAGGCAACAGATTACGTGCAAAATCCTGACTAAAGCAGTGAGCGAGCCTTGTTTTATTCCCTGCCTCATTGCTACAGAAATAAAAACAAACTTTGCTTCAGCAAGTCCAATATATAGCAACTGCTGGAACATACTCCGTGGCCCTTGTGTTTTCTGAGTCAGCTCATTTGGTTAGAAAGCAAAACGTTACAACAGAGCTCAGGACTCACCCTACTGCAGCTCCCCTCTCACCCACCCCTCAAAACAGGGAGAATGAAACTGGCCGGGCCCAAAACTTGTGCCCAGGCCTGGCAGGAGCCAACACTAACTTTTACAGAATCACTGAATCATTACGGTTGGAAAGGACCTTAAGGATCAGTAAGTCCAACTGCAAATCCATCAGGGGTGTCTGTCATATGCTAAGATTTCTTGTCGAACATTTTTTGTTATACTGGATCTCTGAGCAGAATGCTCCTGCCTGGCCATGTTTGTCATAAAAAAGGCTCAGAAGATTCATGCATGAGCGGAATGCTCAAGTTTCTGTATTCATCAATAAGGGGGTTTCTCCACAGTTTGGCTGAAGAGCAGGACAAAGGGAGGGGAGACTGAGTGGAGCCATGAGCTGCACCCATGCCAGTGTGCACGCAACCCCTGCACCACCCCAGATGTTCCTAAGAAAAAATGCTTTAAGGCAAAAGAGAAAAATCTCTCATTGCCCACTGAGGGCCAAGTCAGGCCTCCCCACACCCCCCTACGAGTGCAATAAGAGGGAAAATAATAACAATAATAGGGGAAAAGGCCTAAGGATGGGGAGAAGCAGGCAGGCTCCCGCCCCGCGCCGCCCCGCAGCGCAGCTCGGCGCGCTG